GCCACTCAACTGACTGTGCCACCCAGCACCCTTCCAACCATAACACTTCTAATTGGTCACCATGTCATTGTCTCATCCTTCTCCCACTCCCCAATTTCTACATTGCATATTGATGCCAAGGCTAATCTTAAAATGTTGATTGAATTGTATTATGTCCCCCACCACACTGTACTGGTAGTTCGCCCAGTTATTTATAGAATTTAAAAGCTCTTTAGCCTGACTTTCAAGAGTCTGTAATATAGCCCTGAATTATAAGCCACCTTGACTTTCCTCTTATAGGAGCCTGGAGTTTATTCTTACCCCTGCTAGCATGCCCTTTACTACCTTCCCAATCAAAATACTATCCCTTTGTCAGGATCTGACTGGTAATAGACCATTTTCACAAGGCTTTTTTGGATAAATTTAATTACTGTTGATCTTTTGGTTTTCTGAATTCTTTTAGCACTTTTTGTCAGCCCCAATGACTCTTGTATTGTCTTAAATTCTGCTTTTCATGTGTCTTAATTCTTTAACTAGGTTTAGTTTGGATATGGGTTTAGAGGAAGGGAAATGAGAGCAAAGAGGTGAACCTTGCCTTAGCATCTTCTTTAGAACTTAAGGTAGCTTTCTTATGCTTTAAGTAATGACAGTTATATAAATTTCAAACTCAGTCTTCAGTCTACGACTTCCTTGATTGGTCAGGCAACTCTTAAGTCTGAAAGCATTGATTTAAAACAAGTAAATGGAAAAATGAGACCCTTGCACTTTTTTTTTTAATTTCATCCATTAAATTACTTGCTTTTTCTGCTTGTTTTGAAACTTAGTAAGAATAAGGTCCAAATCAAACCAGAGTTCTTTCTTTAATCTCATAGATAAATTTGAGTACCTACATTGTATATGTACATCACTTTATTATATTGTACTTACTAGCAACATATACCGCACTCACATAAAAAAGGTCTAAAGATAATATCTGAGTTTTTGTGTTGGTTGGTTTCAGATTGTCTGCAGACTTAAATGAACTCAGAGAATCAGGTTAGTGCTTGCTCATTACCCAGGTTCTGTGAAGATGATTTCAAACAGACAGTAAGGTCTTACCCTACTAGCTGTGGAGACAGAAACACCACAAAGTGGCAGCACCTGGATACTGTATTGTCAAGGGGTTTGATTGTGGATACAAGCAGTAGTCAGTGGCTATGGGAATTCTATCTGAAATGGACCAGTGTGGAACAGGCTACTTAAGGAAGATTTCTTTGGTGTCTGAGTATTAGGACATTGGGGTTGAAAGTAGAGAGTTAGAAGCTCATTTAGAATAGAAGTGGAAAACATGGAGGTGAGGGTAGAAAGTGAATAAGTAGGATTTGGATAAGTAGTAGACTGTTCCTGGCTTCTAATCTTTGTGTACTAATGTCTGGATGAGTTAGAGAGGTGGAAAGCACAGATGGGGAGAGTGAGGTGTTAACTTTATATATTCCTTGAGACCAAAAGGAAGTATGAAAGATGGAAACACCTGTCATTTAGGTTTAAGAAGTTTCAATACCAGTCTCTATACAGCAGGAAGACCTAATATAGAAATGCATGGTTTTTCTGTGGAGAAAAGTGCCTTTGAACATTTCTATTTTAGGTGCTTTTTATGGACTGTTTATCTTTTTGATGTTGAGAATAGCAGATATGTCTTACACACTTATGCAGGTAAGGAGGAAAATGCCCAATAACTTGATTCTTTTCTTTAGCATGTTTCTAAAATTCATCTAATTCTTTCCAGTTTCTCATTATCATGGGAGTATTCTGCTAAAGGCTTATTTTGCAGATGACTTCTCAGAAAGTTCTTTTTGAAGTCCTGTGTAATTGCATGAAGATAGGAAATACGAATTTGTGCCTTTTACATTTCATGTTTGTATTTGGGTTAGATGGATGGTTGTAAAATTTGCTCAACTGTTGTAGTTAGTGAGGCATCCAGTGGAAATCTGTCCATGGAGAGATGGCATGTGGTCTGAGGAGAGTTGATTTTTGCTTTCCCTTTTCACCTTTGACTTTTTGTGCCTTCTCATTGCCTTAGCTCTTTCTGGATTTGGTGGGGGTTTTTGGTTGTTTTGTTTTGTTTTGTTTTTGGTGCAAAAAGATGGTTTATTAAAGCATGGGGACAGGACCTGTGGCAGAAAGAGCTGCTGCCTGGATTTGGTGTTCTTGTATAGAGTATTTCTTTTTCTTTAAAACCTAGATAAGTTAGGGGCTCCTGGGTGGCTCAGGTTATGGTCTTGGGGTCTTGGGATCAAGCCCCGTGTCAGGCTCCCTGCTCGGCGGGAGGCGTGCTTCTCCCTCTCCCCCTCCCCCTGCTTGTGTTCCCTCTCTCGCTCTCTCTCTGTCAAATGAATAAATTTTAAAAAATAAAAAAATAAACCTAGATAAATTATATTAATTTATATTAATATTAATATTTTAATTTATTTTATAATTTATAATTATATTATTATATTAAGAATCTGCTAATTTTAGTATTGGGTATTTATAATGGCAAGGATTGATTTTGAAGTTCTGACAACTCCCTAGCACAGATTTACCTCTCCAGTTAAGAAGAGGAAAAATGCAAGAAAAAGAAAATAAACAGGAAAAAGGAAAGAACATACACCTATTTACTTTGTTCATATTTTACCTTTTAATATTATTAGATTTATCCATCTCTTCCTGTGCCTATCTCCAGCCCTAAAAACCCACCACTGTGAGTCTTTCTTTCAAGTAAATGTTTGAAGGAATGTCAAGGGTGTTGAATTTCTATATGGAAAACAAAGGCTGGAAGAGGGAAAGTAACAGCTGCTTTGTATACAGTTTAGGTACAGTAAGTTCTAGACCAACTCTGCCATTGGCATTTCTGTTGCTTAGGGTAGTGGGCAAGATCTCTGAAAGGTTAAGCAGAAACTTTCCCATCAGGGTACCTTTTTCTGCAAAAGGGTGTGAAAATTGATTCCTTTTTGTGTGTTTGGTGGCAATTATTTATTGTGTTTGTAAAGTAGTTCTCAAGAACAGTTGGAACAGAAGTATAGGAAGGAGGGTGAATTTTTTTATTTAAGATTTATTTGTTTACTTTAGAGAGACAGAGTGAGCCTAACCGGGCAGGGCAAAGGAAGAGGGAGGGAGTATGGAACCCGAAGCAGGGCTCCATCTCACAACCCTGAGATCAGGACCTGAGCTGAAACCAATAGTCAGATGCTCAACCAACTCTGACCTACGTGCCCTGAGTGTGAACTTTTTATACTAGTTCCTTTTTTTTTTTTTTAAGATTTTATTTATTTATTTGACAGAGAGAGAGAAAGCAGAAGCAGGGGGAGAGGCAGGCAGAGGGAGAGGGAGAAGCAGGTTTCCTGAGCCCAATGTGGGGCTTGATCCCAGGACCCTGGGGTCACGACCTGAACTGAAGGGAGACGCTTAACCTACTGAGGCAACCAGGTGCCTCTATACTAGTTCCTTTTTAATCTTTTACTCTCATAACATAATATTAGGGAGCATATTCCATGTATCTGAATATGGGACCACCTATGTAGTAGTTAACTTCGCATTTCTTAGAAAAATATTTAAATATTAACCCCACATACTCTTTTTTTTTTTTAAGATTTTATTTATTTGAGAGAGGGACAAGTAGACTCCATGTGGAGTGGGGAGCCCAACACAGGGCTGTATCCCAGGACCCCGAGATCATGACCTCAGCCACCCAGGTGCCCCACACACACTCTAATTTTAATCTTGATTTTCTTTTAAATAATTGGCTTATCAACAAAACAACATACTAGAGCAAAATTTAAAAAAAGAAATAGCACTAAACATTTACCCACTAGACTAATGATTTGTTAATACTTTTGCCATAGATTTTTTTAAGCCTTTTTCCCTTTTCTGAATATTTTTAAAACACAGACTTGTCAAAAAGTGGTAAATCTTGGTATCAGTTTTTGTTGAAGTTAACAAATTACTCCACTGTCTTTTAAAATAACTTTTTCTTAAAATTTTTTTTATTGGCCAATTTTCTTTTCAAGCAGAATCTTATTTTTATAGGCATATAGAAACTTGAAATCATTTATTATAGTGATTCCTAATCCTTGGAATCTCTAAAATTAAAAGTTAGCTATTCCTTGAGTTTGGGGGGGACAAATAGTATATTTACCCACAGTAATAAAGCATTGGATAATTAAAACAGGGCTCCAGTAGAAAGCACATGTCATCTTTATGGTAATATTGGTTATTTTTGGTAATCAAACTAAGCAAAACTGTGACTCCTTTTTTTAAAAAAGAACAAGTAATTATTGATTAAATACAACTTGGTAGTAAATGGGACAGGAGTTCTAACAAAAGGGATCTTTGCTTTGTAAGATTGGTATAGTCTCCTTCATTTCTTCAGTTAGGAAGTAGTATCAGGTAAGATTAAGGAATTTGGCAGAAGTCATGGGAATCAGTGGCAGATGGATATAGAATTCAAATGCTCTGGTAAGAGGAGTGTTAAGGTTACTGTGCAAGTTCTATCTTAATATGACAGTGGGGCCACTTGACAGAAGAAACTCTCCTTACCCTTAATTTTGTGTTGGGCAGTATAGTCAGTTCATGGACTCATCATCTGAATAGAGGAAAACTTTAAACCTTAAGTAAAACCTAACTGGGGCACCTGGCTGGCTGTCAGTGGAGCATGCCACTCTTGATCTCGGGGTTGTGAGTTCCAGCCCCACATTGGGTGTAGAGATTACTTAAAATGTAGATTAAAAAAAATATATGGTACCTTTATTTATTTACTTATTTTTAAGGATTTTATTTTATAAGTAATCTGTATACCCATGTGGGGCTCAAACTCCTAACCCCTGGATCAAGAGTGGCATGTTCCACTGACTAGTCAGCCAGGTGCTTCTATGGTAACTTTGATAAAATAAATAGATAAGGAAAACTATCTTCTTATTAGAGCTTAAGAATTTTAGAAATTTAGTGATATTAAGTGATAATCACCTTTTCCTAAAGCTCTCCCTTTTTCCCTTTTATTTTGTTAGGTGGTATGGTCAAGAAAAAGACTACAATGTGCTAGTCATGGATCTTCTTGGACCCAGCCTTGAAGACCTCTTCAATTTCTGTTCAAGAAGGTTCACAATGAAAACTGTACTTATGTTAGCTGACCAGGTATGTGAAATTTTGATGAAAATAAAAAAAATTGAGAATACTCATAATTTAATTGTAATATAAATTTTTATAAACCAGAGTATGTATAATCCTGTGCTATGTAACCTTAGGTTCAGCAAAAATAAAAAAGATATAATAGTAGATTGTACTCATTCAAGAGTACTACTTTAATAAGATTTAATAGAGGTTCTCCTGTGGCATAGGACAGAAATGGATTATATTGGTACCCAGTAGTTTTCAAGTTGTTCATCAGATGGAGTCTGTTTCAGTGAAGATTATAGAGGTTTCTTTATAAGATTTTTGAAGAAAGCGCTCAATATATAAAGATGCTGTGGAAGAGAGTAACATTTTTAACATTTAGATTGGATGTCAAAATAAAATGAGATGATACACTGGCATTTGAGTTAGAATTTTTAAAAATATAAATTCAAAGCATTAGAAAATAGTGTTCATTCTCTGTAATCACCTGATATTTTAGTAAGATTAACAAAAAAAAACCTCTTGTGGTTCAAGCAAATATTAGCAAATTACATTGTTTTATTTGTGGTATGTTAAGAACTCAAATGTTGAAGGTTAAGATCCTCCTAATATGTTTTAACTAACATGTGAATGAATCCTAATAGAAGAGTTTATATTCTGTAGGTTCTGTAACACATAGGTATTAACAAGTGAACATTTATTCAGGGCCTTCTGCTTTACTTAGAACTAGAGGGTGCAAAGAAGAATAAGAACTCTAGTCCCTTTCCTCTGGGAGTGTACAGTTCAGGAGAGAAAAATGGAAAAAACTACGTTCAAGATTTTGTGATAAAAGTCTATCTTGGGTACACTGGTAACAGAAAAAAATGTAGTTCAGGGAATGGGGTTGCATTAAAGCAATGGTTTAAGGAGGTGGCTGCTAAGTCTTGGCTCTGTAGATGATAACACTTGAAGGTAAGTAGTTGGGGCCATTTATTATCTTTTGCCACACTTTTTCCCAATGAATCAATGATCCTGGTTTAATGGGTATCACTTAGACTAGGACAAGTAAGTACATTAAGTGAGAGAAATGTTTTTTTCTTCCTTTAATAAAGTACAAGTTGCTGCTATAACTAAAGGTGCTATTTGGACATTGTATACATCTATTTCCTTGAAAATATAAATAGTTTGATTATAGATTTGGCTTTAAGAGACATTTGTCAGAGTTCAGAATCTGTATGGTAATAAAAGCTCTAGGGAAAGTGGGGACGAATAAGTAGAATCCTGACACATACTACTGAGAAGAGCAAAAACATATGTATGGGTAGAAAGATAAAGTTAGTCTTTGGGTATTGAAAACATTTTCAAATACTTTTAAGTATCTTACAGAAAAGATAGACATATTTGATAATTTGACAATTAAAACTATTCTAGAAGTGATGCCATAGTAACAAGACAGTTTTTTAAAATTTATTTACATAACAAATGACAGAAAAGATTGTTATATGCACAGAATTCTTAAAATCGGTAAGAAAAGGACAAGCCAAAAGAATAATGGACAGAGGTACAGATTGGCAGTTCCAGAACAGTAAATGAGCAGACTTTTAAACTGTTAGTGAAGAAGTGAGGTCAATACCTGTCATATTGGCAAAATTTAGAAGGAACTAAAATAAGTTTGCCAATGGGAAAAGAAATACTCTCAAGTATTGCTGGAAAATGAATTGTTAGAGCCTATTTTTAAAGACAGTCTGGTGCCACCTATCAAAATGATAGCTACTTCGATCCAGCCACTCTCCCTACAATTGTATGGGGTTTATAGCCCATAGAAATAAAAGCACTAGTAGGTAAGGATGTATTTAATTGAAATATGTTAACAGCATTATTGTTCACAGTGAGAAGATGTTGGGAACAGTGGGAATAATGGTTGGGGAAAACTTAATCTATACCATAGAATATTTATTTATGGCCGTTAAAAAGAATGCTAAGACTTACACCATTTGACTTGGCAGAATTTCCAAGAAATTAAAAAAAGGTTATTAGAATGATATCCTTACTATTCAGTTTTTGAATGTGATTATTTGTGTGGAGAAAAAAACAAGGGAGACTTCAAAAAGCATCTAAGAAATGAAACATAGCATGTGTATGTTCCCATGTTTTGTGTTTATGTTGTATGCTACTAACTTCCAGGAATGTTTAGTTAAAAAGAAGCAAAGAAGAATAAAATGAATAGGATGCTTTTATTGCAGTTAAAACAGTAACAGCTTGTATTTTTCAGTTGGTCAACATCTCCATTCCCAATTACATGAGTTCATACGTGTGTGTAAATAAGAGTATGGAAATGGGTAATGCCAGGCTATTGTAACACAGGTTACCTCGGGGCAAAGAATTGGGTGTGGAAAGTTGATGATTAGCTCTAACTGAAACAATTCTAAATTTACTACTTTTGTAATTTAAAAATTGCAAACACCAGGTCTTCCTACCAGGTTAGATGTTATGTTTATAATCAATACTAGAACATGCCAAAGAATGGGGCAGGTTTATGCTTCAGTATCCATGCCCTTTACATTTAATTTTGTCTAGCACTGTCTTTGTGAACTCTAAATGAAGTTGTTAAAATATATCTGTGATCTTGAGAAATAATTGAGAAATAATGTGTTGCTTTCTTGTATCACAATTCAAATTACATAATTATCTCTCACCCCCTCCTTTTTTTTTCCAGATGATCAGTAGAATTGAATATGTGCATACAAAGAATTTTATACACAGAGACATTAAGCCAGATAACTTCCTAATGGGTATTGGGCGTCACTGTAATAAGGTTAGTCAAATGTTCTTTGCATGAAAGAACAAAGAGTAAAAACTCCAACAATTGCTTTGATAGACTTTCAGTCTTTAAGAAGTCATAGGAAATTGTATTTGCTGTTGAAGATTGCTTTAAAAGATTGTGCTAGAAGGGTAATCAGCTAACTCTATTAACTTAGTAACTTGAAACAAATTTTCTCCCAACTTACCCAACCAAGGTTAATTATCTATATGGAAATAAAAAATTCCCAAGGGCTTTATAATGAAATGTAATTATCTGTTATTTAATTATGAAACAGTTGTATCTATTTTTCACTCATTCAAGTAGTAAAAAACCCCATATACTTTTTTTCCTGAATGCTAAAATCAGATTTTAACCTTTGTCTCTGAAGTGTGGGTTTTTGTAATATATGTGTTCGTGCCAGCGTGGGAACCACTGACCCATCTGTCACCATGGCGTTAACATTTGCTGACTGAGCATGATCATAATGAGAATTCTTCAGTCCTTGGATTTGTGTATTCAAAAGGATAACTTTTGGGCCTGCTTCAAAAGTAGTTGACAGTTTCTTACTTGGGTGCCAAGTTGGGTGGATTCTCCATCCTTCCTTCCCCTTTCAAAGGAAAATATATAGTCAAGTGAAATGAATATTCATACAACAAAATTAGTATTCATTGGGGTCTCAGAATGATTAACATACGGGGTGATTGGGTTTTAGCTAGTGACGCATGACTGCAGTTAGAAACTAATTGTGTTGAAACTTTATCTGCAATGATTAGTTTTATTGAGTGAATTGCTTTATTTATCGATTCAATGTTGAGCTCGGGCAGACAGGCAGCATTGGCAATGCACTAAGCATGTTATGATCTGATGATCTGATAGAAATTCTCAACTTCAGGACAACTTGGGGCTTTTTGGTTTTTGTGGTTTTTTGTTTTGTTTTGTTTTTGGAAGGAAGATTCCCATTTGTTTTATTAAATCATTAGGAAATGTTTGGTGTTTTTAGGTCTGGCTATAAATGTTTACCTTCGTTTGCCTGTATGAATGCCAACTTGTAGCCATTACCATTAGAACTGGTGTTATTTGTTAATGTGTGAGACATTAATGTTGGTCTGACCAAGTTTTAGGAAATAAATTTTTTTTGTTGAAAGCTAAACTTTAAATAATGAAAGTTGTGTATATCGACATATAACTGATCTTGCCATTCCCAAATTGCATCTTTTTTTTTTTTTTTTAATATTATGTAGCTTCTCTCTCTGAAGCATCCAGGTGCTTAATTGTTATTGCAAAACCTGGTAATTGAATTGAAAACAAATTACTGGTCTTAATTTTTTGGGCAATTTTGTCAGTTTGACCCTGATCTTTTGGCCATTTCCCAGCCCTCCTTCCCCATTTTCTTCCTGCTAAAGACCCATTATCCTCTTGTGATCTGTGTTCTGCATGTCGACATTGCAGTACATGGTTTTTGTCTTAAAATTAAATGATGACCTAGATAATACCTCTTTGCTCCCCCCTCCCTTTAAAAATAGCTTGTTAATTACATGTTGTGTTAGGATGTCCAATTTGCCCCATGATGAAAACCTTTTTAGGATCTTGTGTCCTCTCTAGAGGTAATAAAATACTGTGGAGCTGCTTGCTGTTAATACGGTTCAGAGACCCTAGGGTAGAAGTGCAGTGTTTCACTTAACAAAGATCCAAATTCTAAATGTTGTTCTTGAACATTTTAGATTAGTGTTTTGTTTATGTAGTTGGTTTTTAGTGTTTTCCTTCTGTATTGTAGTTTGAAAAAAATGCCAGTTTTATGAGACTGGATTCTTTGGTTAGCTTGTTGTAGTAGTTTTCTATTCATGGGGGAGAAAGAGTGGGGGGGCTTTTGAGGTTTTTTTTTTGTTTTTTTTTTTAAGTCAAATTTCTTAATTTGGAAAATTGTTCTGAATTTGATATTTAGGAGTGACCACTCCAATCTTAGTGAATTTGTTCATCTCTTCCAGTAATCAGCCCTGCATGCTTATGAAAACCAATTTTGAGGTGACTAAATGCCTTCTACCTCTTCCTTACTGAAGATTTTTTTCCCCTGTACAATCTTTTTTGGGGGAAGGGCAGATTGTGATACCAAATATTCCAGAACCAAATTCCCCAGTTTTGATTAAAAAATTAAAGAGCCAAATGTCACCATTGCTATCCCTGATTCAGGCAGTGACACAATATAGTGGCATTAAAAACTTGAGTATTTTCCAGAATTCAAATGTTCTTGAGCATGTGATTCTTATTTGGAAAACTGAGAAGCTACAGTGCTTGGTGGAAGAAGGATGGCATTTGGCTACCCTGTTCTTTCTCTAATGCCTCGGTGTTGCCTGTCTGCGCCGGCCATTGTTGCAATGTAAGCAATACTGTTTGATGCACTGCCACCCTCTATTGTCTGTTTAGTGTTTAGAATCTCCAGTGGGGAAGAGGAAAAGAAGCATGACTGTTAGTACTTCTCAGGACCCATCTTTCTCAGGATTAAACCAGGTCTGAAACTGTCTCCTATTCCAACCTCAATCCCAAATTCATGTGCTTTTCTTTTTTATTGTTTTATTTTGATTATTTTTGTTTTGTTTTAATTCTGGAGAATGTAGATCTTGCTCAAGCATCTCTTACGTTGGCATTATTCAGACATACTTGGCAAACATATAACATTACTAAGATTTTTTTTTTTTGTGGCTTTTGCTTAAAATTTGTAAAGTTTAGAGAAAACCTAAATGAAAACAGGATTATGTTTAGATCTCTAACATCCACATGAGGAAATGATATGTTGGTCTAGTGTTGAAATTCTTTGTCTAATGGTAAACTTGAGATAGACTGTTAGTTTTTAAAAATGTATTTGGAGTTGCAGAACTTAATGCATGAAATACATCTAAATTCAGTGCATCAGTGCTGTATGGTGAATATATTCTGCATCAACTCTCTTCCCCTTCCCTAGTGAACTTCAGGTAAGTGTAGATCAGATTTGAGATCTAGTGTTTGTAGAATTGATTTTCCTCTATCTGTGAATTCTCCCAACTTCAACCAAATGGCGTGAGATGCTGGAAGAGCATTATATGCTCTGGAACTAGGAGACATTGCAGTCTAACAGTATAACAGTAACATCATTGAAGCACTTATCAAACAGTTACCAATTAATAACACATAAGATAAAGGAATGCATAACCTGATGATTTAGTGTTTGGCAGGCTAAGTAAACACCCCAGTAATTTTCTTAAAAAAAATTTTTTACGTAGGTGGAACTCTAGAAGTTAGTGAGCTTCGTTAATTAAGCTCTTGAGCAAATAAATGAATCTTCATCATTCAATTTAGTATATACTGAGAAAGGAAGTATTGGCATGAGTAATCAAAAGAGAAAAGTTGTATTTGGTGTATGAACATACTTTGTAGTTTCAAAGTATATTCCATACTTTGTACCACATTCATCATCTGGGTGATCATTTAATTCTTTTCCATACTGCCCGGCGTTATTCCAGGTACCATCTTCTTCTGCTGTTAAATAGGTTTCCGAAATTCAGACTTATTTTCATTCACAAAGAAATAACAATTGTGACTGATTCTTAGTTGGAGCGTGGGAAGAGGGGTTGCTGGGTAATTAGGCACATAATAAAGCACCTAGTGCCCCATTTTTGCTTATCCATTCATTCACATGTTTAATTTATATTTTGTAGCATAATCATTTAATAATTTCCATAAAATTGAATTGTTTATTTTCTCTGCATACAGGTTAGCTGGGTTGTGAAGAAAAGTGAACATGTGAATTTTTTGGAAGGGCAGGGAAAAGTGGCCCCTGGTTAAGAGAAAAATTGCTAGATCTACTGAAAACTAAAATTAGCTTTAGTGTTTCTGAGGAAGGTGCACCTCTGCTGGATGGAGTTACCCCAGTATATACAACATTAACTCATTACTACATGCCTTTGAAGAATAGGCTGCATTCTATAAAACAGGCAAAAATTTTACTTGGAACACAAAACACAAATCCACAGAAAAGCAGCTTGGCCCACCAAAGAAATTAGACTTCTTTTTGTATATGCAAACCTGTAAAAAATACATTATCTTACGACTTACTGAATATTGACTTTTCCTTGTTTGATTCTTTATATATTTGCGGCTGTTTGGATGTATCTTTGGTATCCTGTGGTGTCATGTAAACACTTCTATTATGTTTGTATTCATTTTTAAATTCAAAACAGAGAGGGCTACTAATGAAACTTGATAGGTACCACCAGAAAATGATGAACTACCAAGAGATTTAGATTTTTTTTTAATTTTGAATAATCTTTCTCTTCAGTTGCTGGCTCATAAAATAAGATAGCTTTGTTTAGCAGTGAAATTATTTTTCCTGACTTACTCTCAGGTTTTGTAAGAGAAAATTTAGAGTTGATTGGCTTTGTAGTTTTTTGTTTCGATATTAAAGTTTGAGATATTTGAGAAGATAGTGTTTGTTTTCTTAATAAACTACATTTCATCCTTTAGAGTTGTGGAAGGAAAGAACTTTAGTAAACACTGAGTTTTTATAAAATCTTAGAAAGTTGTGAGAAAATGTCTGGTTATTGAGTTGCAAATGGAGCTACTGAATGTAGACTTACGAATGAAACTATCAGGTATAATATGTCAGAGTTCCTATCTTCTCTATTTTGAAGTATTAAAAGAAGCAATCCCAGAAAATATCCTTTAGAGGAGAGTCTATGTCCTAATCACTTTTTATTTAGAACCCACATAATTCTTAGGGGTATTTTTAAAAATACTATGAAGCTGGGTGTCCTTTTTGTGTTTGTTTTTGCCTTGTTTTCTTTTCACTGTGACTCTGCAGAATCTTAAGTCATACTTTTTGGTTTGCTTCACAGAAATGTATTTTGCTCATTTTAATATTTATATGCTGAGCCCATTTTCATATCAAGAGAAACTTAAGAGTGTGAGCTTTATTTCTCTTTGTGTTTTATAAGACTTTCTCATAGACGTATAATAATGTGATTGCTGAGGAAGTGAATTTAACCTACTAGAGAGCTCTCATCCAGTTAAATTTTACTAAAAATGTAATCTTCCTTCTTTTATAGTAGACCAGGTAAAAATAAGTATCTCATTGTTATATTGGTGACATAAGCTCAAACCTCCATGTCTTTCCCATCCCGATGTCCAGTTAAGGCCAGGGTACAGTGCCTGCCTGATATAAGTGTTTTTCTTTTTCTTCTTTTCTTTCTCTCTCTTTTTTTTTTAAGATCTATTTATTTATTTAAGTACTCTCTATGCCCAACAATGGGGCTTGGAACTCACAACCCGGAGATTGAGTCTCATGCTCTTAAAACTGAGCCAGCCAGGTACCCCTCGATAGAAGTGTTTTTCATCCTCCTAAGAGAGGCGTTTGATCACATCTTTTCACCTAAATCATTCATTTTATTTATTCTTATACAAACTCTAATAGGCTAGGTGACCAGTTTCCTAGGACATTACAGATTATAAACTGGGTAGAAGGGACCCAAAGTCTACTTAATGGAAAAAAGAGCTATAAAATGTAGGCATAACTAGGGGGAAAAAAGTCTAGGACTATGTACTGTAATGCCACATAGACCTGCCTTGTTGGATAATCTTTGTAAACATAACTTTAATAAGTGAATTTATGATCAAGACTAAAAATTGGAGTAAAGATTATTTTGCTTTAGAAGGTAGGTAAATATGAATATATTTTGGATTTTTTCTTTTTTGATAAAAAACAGGTTTTTTCCTTCTTTGAAGTGTTAATCATGGAGAATAAACCTCAGTTACTTTTAAAAATTAGCTACATTATAAATGAATATCTTATTCCCTGTGTACCATATAAATAAGACAGCACTAAACATTATTTTGTTCTAAAATACTAGTGTGGTTTTTAGTTAGCTCCTTTAAACTGCTGATTGTAAGTTATCTTGATATAAGTAAATACTAAGTACTTTTTAAAAAGATTTTTGATCAGCTTACTGTATTTCCAAGAAGTATAACCTGATACATGGATAAATGTCAGTGGGAAGTAGTAGAAGTAATGCATGCTTTAAAAAAAAAAAAAATCCTTATTTTTTGTTAATAAAAATTTTGGGTTTGTTGTCAATATCAAACTTTCAGAGTTGTCTTATTTTAAATAATGAACATTCTGTTGGCATACTGAATGAAAAATGGCCTTTATAAAATGGAAGAATTCCAGATAGTTTATGTTTAGTTTTTGAAACCTCATGCTTGTTTACCAACAGTAACAGGATGTCAGATTTCATCATGGCACACAGCACACTTGTCAACTCTGCTATCAAACATATATATATTTTTCCACTACTTTTCTAAAGACAGGCTCCTGAATGTATAGTAAACTGGGCCTGTGAAGTTGGTTCAGCTCACAAGGATCAACCACTTAACTGTATTTTTTTTTAACTTGATTTATTGATGAGGACTAGTAGAAGCTTATTAGAGTGTTGTTTGTTCATGTTTTCTGCCTGTGATACTTTATTTTGATATAATTGAACAAGATAGTATAAATGCCATTTAATGAATAAGAAGCAGTTCAGTTGAACAAGGTTGGAAGCCTAATATCCCTTTATTTTCTTTTAAAGTTATTCCTTATTGATTTTGGTTTGGCCAAAAAGTACAGAGACAACAGGACAAGGCAACACATACCATACAGAGAAGATAAAAATCTGACTGGCACTGCTCGATACGCTAGCATCAATGCACATCTTGGTATTGAACAGAGGTGAGTTTGAAAAATGAATGTGTTTATCAAATCCATAGCAAAAGTCACTAAAGAATTTTTGAAATATTTTAACTAGTTTCTTATGATATATAAAGACGTCTCTTGGCTGAGGATTTGAGGAAACATGTTAATCCTTTTACCTGTTGGCTTTAGTTAGTGCTGAGAAGCCAGTTAAATGAGAGACCTTTTGTTTTCTTTGTTGAAGGTTGTCTCTTGGGGAGAAAATACTGCATGATGGGAAGTTAGCATACAAGCAGTTTTATCTTGTTTATTTTTATTTTTTTTGCAGCTGAAGACGGTACTTATTTTCTTAATGCTGATCTTGGACTTTTTATATTTTAGTAGTATAAGTTAAATTTTGGAGAAGAATATATTATTTATTTTTACAAGGAAAATGTTATTATCTGAGTCCTGATGGACCAAGAGGGGGTTGGTGGGCCATCTCATGTTCTACCCTTTCACTCCTACATAAATTAATAGGATCTGGATTGAGGTAAACATTGTCATGATCTCTTTGCTTTTTCTAGGTCTTCTGTTTTCTTTTTTTTCCTGGTTTTTCATCTTCATCTTTTATCAGTCAGTTTTGCTCCTTAAAACAAGCACAGAAATGATAAATGATATGCTTGCTTCCAGGTTAGGGCGCTTCAAGAGAAGAATTTTTTTTTTTTTTTTTAAGATTTTATTTATTTATTTATTTGAGAGAGAGAATGAGAGACAGCACGAGAGGGAAGAGGGTTAGAGAGAGAAGAAGACCCCCCGCTGAGCGGGGAGCCCGATGCGGGACTCGATCCCAGGACTCCAGGATCATGACCTGAGCCGAAGGCAGTCGCTTAACCAACTGAGC